AAATGTCAAAAAGTGGCCGAAATTTGAAGAAGGGACCATTGAAAAAATTTTACTTATAAAAAAGTTGTCCAAAAATTGTGAAAAAGTTCAGGGACGTGGATATCGACATGGTGATTCCAAAAATATAGCGTGTTGATGGTCACGGAGCAATATTTTCGTTAAATTCGGTGTGAAATTCGAATTTTTCGGAATTTTTAAAATTTGCGATATTTCAGTGGACGATTCTGGAAAAACAGTTTAAGTTATCGAAGAAATGAAGCCAGAAGTGACTTCTGCGGCCCAAAATTTACAAGAAAATGGATTTAGTTAAATTTCGAAAATCGTCGAGAATGGCTCGAAATTTGCAGAAGTGATACCTAATCCGAATACACAATGGAAAATTTCATTTTTGAAAAAGTCATCTAAAATTTCTGAAAAAATTCAGGGATAAAGATCCCGACGTGTTGATTTCAAAAAGATAGCGTGTTTATGGTCACGGAGTAATATTTTTTTCGAATGTATCCATTATCCACTGTTGATTAAGAATACTTTATTTCTGTTTAAAAAAATTAAGGTTTATTTCTTGAAGTTTGTTTTCAGCAGTGTATGAAGTTGTTATTCAATTTTCTTTCAGATTTATGGGAAATTCGCTGATCCGCACAAATCGCTAATCCGAACACAACTTTTTCGGAATTAATTCGGATTATCGAGGTACATCGAAAGAATGTCACGTAGAAATTTGTTTAATTTGAATGAGTTGTTTCCTCAAAACAGAAGATTAAAATCATTAATTAAGCCACCACGGAACAAAATGTTTTGAATATGATTGTTATTATTCTTATTTGATCATAATTACATAAAAACATGGGTATTCCTACATTTTCTAGAAAATGAGGTTCTTAATTTGATCAATAAAAAATTGGGCGAAGACTGTAACTATAATCCGACGATTTTCGTTTTGTAGTAATCGCTGTAAAGTAAAAACCAGACTCATAAATAACAGTCCGTGTCCTTCAGCACTAGGTGACAGCGATCTAAAGCTCAAGTGTTTATGTTTATACATCAAAAGAATGTCACGTAGAAATTAGTTTGATTTGAATGAGTTTGTCTTCTCAAAACAGGACTAAAATTATTATTAAGTGAACCACAATCGAAGAAAATGTTCTAAATATTATAATTCTTATTTTATCATTATTATATAAAGACGTGTGGATTCTTCACATTTTCAAGAAAATGGGGTGACTCGCACTTATTTGACCAATAAAAAATTTGTGATGTTGTCATCAACATGGATAATTCTAGTCACAGCACAAAAGAAAATTAGTCACAGCGTTATACCAATGCAAGAAAAAAAAGGGCCATGTTCGGCAACGAACACACAATCGCAGTCATTAATTTTCATGAGTCACCCTGTACCAGAAATTTTAAAAATACGAAGGTAATGTTCATTGACAGGTATGAACTCATCGTGTTTTGCACCTTTTCGATGGGATTTATTAGGCAAAATATTGACATGACGCCATCAATTTTTTGGAGGATTAACAGATATATTTTCATTAAAAAATTACCGTGTTTGCGATAACTCTTTAATACGTCTGCACAATTTTGGAACATTCACTTTTGCAGTTCCAGATTTAATCAATAAAATGAATTGAGTCCCGTGTGTAATTCCAAAAATTTGAAGGCAATAATAAATCACAAATATACTTATTATATTTTCCAAATTTGCGATTAGGTCATTAATTTTGTCGGGGGGATAAACAGATATATTTTGAATAAAAACTTACCATGCTTACGATAACCTTGAAACGTCTGCCAGATTTCAAAGCATTCGATTTTGCAGTTCATGATTTAACCCATAAACTAAATTGACTTATTCATTTTAATTAAATTATTGGTCGCTCTGTATAAAAAATTCTAAAAATATGGAGGCAATGATAAATCACAAGTATGGACTCATCACATTTTGCGTATTTTCGGTAAGATGTATTGACAAAGATTTTGTAATGCGTCATCATTTTTTTGGGGGATAAACAGATCTATTTTGACCCAACATTTACCGTGTTTACGATTCAATTTTTTACCAAAAATCTGGATGCCTCGGGTAGAAACTCAACTCGTATTCAATTTAAAACCCATTTACTGTGTACAATTTTGAGATGACGTCATCACACTATTGATGGGGATAATCAGACAAAGTTTGGTTGGCGTTTTACCATAAAATTTTTAAAATATTTCAAAAATTGCCATATATCTTTTTGAAACCGTAAAAACTTCCAGGCATTGCTATCAACAAAAACACCTCCTTTGCTAAGCTTCAAGAGATGTCCGAGGCAAGGTCAAAAATTTGAAATTGAAAATAGAACTTTTTGCGAAGTTTACTAGAAATCCATAAAAATTTTGGGAGATTTCGACAACCTAAATCTAAAAATATGACATGTAGGTGTAGGTGGTTCCAGTCCAAGATTTAGAGCTATTACTGAAAATTCCGGAGCATTAGCGGCAATTTTGTTAAGGTCGTATTTATGGAGCAATTCCGAAATAACTGGAAGATTAAAAATTATGAAAAAAATCGTTCTTACGCAGGAGTAATGGGTCTCCGAGGGAGAAAAATCCCTAGTCGATACGACAACTCGTTTTGGAAATATTTGATGATTTTGGAAAAGTGGTAGTAATTTTCGAGGACCTGGAACTTTAAAGATCTTCTAAAGATCGATCTAAAGAAGAAAAAAACTCCTTCGGTAAGTTTCGACAATTCCATTTCAATTAGTGAGGTTTTGACAAATTGTGTTTTTCTCAAAACTGTCTAAAAATCCACAAAAAATCTAGTAGACAGTTTACGACAACCTGATTCCAAAAATATAAGGTGTTGATAATCCGGGATCACGATTGAGAGCTATCATCGAAAAATCCGGGGAAATAGTGGCACTTTCGTTAAGAATGTCGTTAACGGACTTTCGGAAAAACTGGTAGGCAAAAAATCTCCCTTATGTAGTAGTGACGGTTTTTTGGATTCAAAAATCAATTTTTTAAAATTCTGTAAAAACTGTATGAATTTTGGAAACACTTAATCTTAAAAAAACTTCCAGGGATTGCTGTTAAAAAAAAAACTCCTGTGCGACAGACAGACAGACGAAAATTGGAGACCCATTTTGTCGTACTATAGAGGTCGATTAATTATAATACCTCCTTAGCTTACGCTACGTGAAACGTAATTAAATTCAATTTTACCGCTCAAGAACTGGAAATTCTGCTAACAGGTTCGTGTGGAAAGTGTGTAAGAATGTGAACGTCCTGGTCGTTGGAAGCGAGAATTTCCACAGGACGTACTGTTTTCTTTGTACTTTGTTGTTTTAAATTGGACAAGCCTGAAACTATATCCGGAACCAGGTTAATCTCATTTATTTTCTTCCAATTTTTGAAAGTGACTTCTTTTTCATGCTGTTCTAAATATACTTAAAACGTAGCTGGATTTCACATACTCAAAAGGTTTTCCTGTGTATAACACAATACACACGAACTTCTGTTTGCACTCGTTTACGTTCAGGTTTCTCGGTTTTTAGCAGGAATCGTCGGACAATACAAACGTGTTATTTTTTTGTGATATCCTCATTTTTCGGAAATATTTTTGTGGATAAATAATATTTAACCCAAGTGCTTTTGATAAAATTTTATGTAGACTTTTTTTGTCAAAGACGATTTGAGGAAAATGACTGTGACTTGGATTTTTCGTAATTTCCGAAACTACTGGACTGATTGGCAAATGTACATTAGGAATATAATGTAGGTGGTAAAACGTTAACCAAAATTTAGTTGGTCAAACCCAACAACAATTTAATGACGTCATTTCAAATAATTCTATTTTAAAATGATTTAAATGTTATTCAATAATATACTCCTCTACTTGTGGTGTACGAATCCGCTTTGAGTTTTTTCTCTAAAGGGCCAAATGTTCACAAAAAAAAAATAGCATAGTATAATAACAATTTTCTGCGTGACCTTTTTCCGATGTATAAATAAACACTTGAAGTTAAATCTTTTTATTACTGTTGAGAGGCCATTTTTCCGTTGGTTATCTGCTTTAAGTATATTTTACATTTACATTACAAGAAACATCGCAAGATATAATTTTATAATTTTTCAAAAAAGCGGAATTTGTTGGACTTATACTTCAGAAGCTAGGGAAGTTCTGTCGAAATAATCTTCGACCAGTGTTTCACTGTGACCACTAGCGCCTCATGCGTGACAAACAATTACTTTTTTCAATTTATAAACGGATAACGATCGCAAAGCTCAACTGATAACACTGAGCTTTGGTCTTTGTCTTTTGGAACGTGATCAAGTCGAAATGAAGTGAATGCCTCTGGAATCAGCAGATTTCGACAAGAATGACCGGAAGAAGTGAGATGTACAACTTATCTGAAAGAACGATCACTGTTTGTTTGAACTTCAGATAAATTCGGAAATCTTGAAAGAGACGCACTGTGCGAGTTCATATGTTTAATACGACTCCACCTATGAAATCTAAACGTCACTTTGTATATACTCAATCTGTAGCTCACTTTCCATTTATCTTTCAAATGAAATCCTGTCAAAAACTAGAATAAGAAATATATTTCAAGTCGAAATTTGATTGAGGGGAAGTCTGCTCCCTACAAGTTCCGGCTACGATTTAATCCGGCAGCGGTTTGTTTAAAACCGCGACAAGTTGACTGAATGTTTATTCATAAATTGTTTCCGGGTGTGAGTGTATTTCTTGCGTGAAAAGTGACTGCGTAAATATTAAATATATAATGATGCGCAACAAAGTGTCGTTATCCCTCTAGCGCAATAATAGGTGTAATTATTTGATGAAATAAGTCAACTTTATACTCGTGTGGTGGATGAATATTGTCACTTACCTTGTATGTAAAACTGTAGTTTGCGCTTTTGTGGTATTCCTTTGTCGTAGTCGCCACAATTTACACTGTGCGGAAGGGGATTTAGGAAAGGCAGCGAGCGTGTTTAGCAAATAAAAGCCATTTTATTTTGAACAATGTCCATATTATATTTATCCCACATACACACGGCACGTTGTGAACCTTGTCTTATCTTGTAATAATTATATGTACATTGTAAGAACGTGTAGTTAGATATACATGAAGGCCCGGGCCGTTGCCGAGCGCTACAAGAGCATAATGCGAGCGGCCATCTTAATTTTGACGGCCCCTCGTCTTCTGAACAACATAATTTTCATCTTATGTTACAAACTCTATATCTGTACAATCATTCTAAATAGCAATATGCCATCGCCTTCATCATTATTATCATAGTGTAAAATCTTGTTCATAAAGTACGTACTTACAGTAATTGTTAATAATAATAATTATTATTATATTTTTTCTTAATGTAAAAGTCAAAAGCGTCCACAGAAGGAATATGGTTATTGCTTTTTTATTGCAGAAGCCGTTCGGCTGTAATACAATGAGTTTACGTAACACTGAGCGTCGGGGCGCAGGCCGGTCCGCGGTTGGCCGCTCTACCGAGACTAGGACTGCACTAAATATTATATACGAAGGGCCACAGACAGGACCGGACCGGCCCGAGCCCCGACGCGGATGGACCAGGGGCTGCAACACAGGGACAGGGCGGGTGCCATAATACATATCGTGGCGGCACCGTACCACTCGCTACCGCTTAATTAATTAAGAGTATATGTTATGTATGTATATCATAATATCAATATATACAGCTTGTATACATTCAATAACGTAATCCTAAAGTACGTATGAAAGTAACACAACAAAAGAGCGCGGGGCGCCTTAAGTATACAAAAGATGGGGGGCGGCGCGACTTCAATCTAAACTACCTGCGTCCACCCCTAAAACTATATACGCTTGCAAGATCAAAAGTAAATACAATAATAAAATTTTGGACAGCACGATTTAATTTTCAGTGTATAGTATAAGGCCCACGATATATAGTTTTAATCATACAACTGAAAACTTCACAGTGTGAATCAATATTGTCGAGATAATATTCCGTTTGGGAAATAATACGTTACAAACGACTAATAACTCCTATTCTAGCCTCTAAGGGACAAAGGGACACGCCGACTCTCGCAACAACAATTAAGTACAACCCCGTTTTATTCCTTTTGTTAAAATTAATTACGGCCCAATCGCTCCAAACTGACCGACACGCCGCCCAGAATACGACCTACCTTCAACCCTACTTTTATTACTTAACAATTTTAGCACCAATTACACGTAATGGAAGATAAAGTATCTAAAAAAAAAAACTAAGTTTTCGCGGGTTTCCCGGTAACGTCAATGGTGACCGTGTTGAATCTGTTGACGTTTCGACGTATATTGCTTTCTTCTTCGGAGCAAGATTAACCTCGCTTTCGAAGCGTCAGCACATTCAACACGACCGAGACATCACCTAAAAACTCATAACCACAAAAAAATCTCCGTATACTTGTTTTTGTTAAAAGTCCACCTGACTTTAAAATAAAGTTCTCAGTTGATTTTACAAGTTTTATTTAATGAAGGTGTCAAGCTTTGTCATAATTGTCGCCCCCCTTTTCACAATAAGTGGTATCGATTTCTTTCGAGATAGGAGTGCTAAGTTTCTACAACAAATACCGAGTATATTTTATTATGTCGTAATCGTCTACAACAAACAATAATATCAAAACAAGCTACATGTTGTCGTGTTCCACGCGAGTCTGGGACCGCTGGGCCAAGCAACCTAACACTAAATTAACAACCGCAACGTTTTTTTTGTCTGTTTTTTTTGTTTGTTTTTTTATATGTACTATACTTTGGCCGATTAGCACCACCGCGAATAAAATACAAACTATACATACGACAATAAAAATTTGAACAACTCGACGTGTCCCTCTTTGAAGGTCCGAACGGGCCCGCGACCGGCCTTTTGATATGTTGGTGTACGTGAGGCGGTGCAATGCGCTGCTGGAATGTGCCCAAATCGCGGACCAACGCTCAGTGGAGACTTTTTGGCCGCCGTCGTGGCCGCACATTCGGTCAAAATGTGTGTCCACGACACCGGACGTGTCTTCTGCATGTTAAAGCTTGGGCTACTGGGTCGATGAATTTTTAATCGCGTTCCTCCAAGATCTCGGGCTAGTTTTTCACGGTGATAACAATAATTAAGAGAATTTGAAGAGGGCTTAGGCCAATCTTTGAATTTGATCATCGCGCGCGCACCTTAAATCAGAGATTAACAACCGAACGAGATTTCGAGCGAGATGGTGGAAGAAAAACATTAAAATTCCCTGAGTCGACCCATGTGGTGTCTTTTTCTAAACTTATCCCTACCATTTAATGCAATAACACAGTTTACAGATATCAAAATATATAAATGAAAACTTATTTTTGGTTTTAACCTACCTACACTTACCGTATTGCTCTGGATTGACATTAAAATACTTCGGCATTACCAAAATAAAAACGCAGTCACGGTATTGACATTAGTATTGACATTTTATACCTTTGGTCAATTCTCACCAAACTTGGACGGAAGGCGACTGCCCATCCGTCGGTCGAATCCTATATTCCTATTTACGCCGACATGCAGATCCAACGACTACCACGGAAATTCTCTGAACTAGCCTTTAATTGACAATCGAGGACGACGGAACTTTCGACGAACTTAAGCGACCTACGCGACGATGAATACGAACGGTCCGGCAAACGACACACCGACGACCAACTGGGCCAAAGTTCAAAACGAACGCCGATTCGTCATTAACGTTTGAACTATTCTAAATATACCACAGACCAGCGGATTGAATCGATTTTACCGAATCTGTAAAGCAATAGAACCGAAATCTCTACGTGCTATCTATGGGACTTGAATCTTCTAGTTCTGGCGGGCTGAAAGATCAAGGTGACGCAGCTTAACGCCGGATATTTTGTTTTTTGTCTTGTCAGTTAATACTTGGTGATTGTACGTTCGCCGGGCCAGACCTGCGACCTATGCATAATAATACTAATTGGATGTGGAGCGTCGGTGACGTGTCATTAAATCTGAATGTCGGTTCCTAGCTGCTAGCATCGCGTAACCTCTGTGGAGGTTCAATAAATAAATCGCACAATTTCACGGAAACGCGCGCCTACCCACTACAATTAATATTCAACTACGGTCAATCGTTGCGACAATTCGAATAGCTAAATAAGCGTTCGTACGTCACGCCTAAAGCCGCGTCCAGATGTATCTGGCATGACGGACGGACGATACTCGGCCACTATGTTCCATTTCCTACATTCGAACTATATTTATGTAATTAATTTATATCGTGGTGTATTTGTACTGAGGAGACAAGCAATTGCAGTCAGTCAGACAACAATGATAATATTCATTTAACAAGCCTACCGGCGAAATATATAACTTAAAAACAATAAAATCATAACACACCATATAACTCACATGGAGGACACTGCGGGGCGACGGGACGTGCTCGGTTGCGTCCGCGGAGTTAATTTAACTATGACGACATCTCGTGGCGATCACAATAATTTCAATACGGGTTAGATTTTGCTAAATGCGGCCGCATGCGGGTGCTTGCGACGGGCGCACCGACACCACCGTCGCCCCACCATTATAGAATATTCACTTAATAACAGGAAACATTTATATAATATATACTTTAAATTGATCTGGCCTATACTAACAATTAGACAGATCTAAGGTTAGGATATTACATGAGGAATACGTTTAGGACTCTACAAGCTACACAGACGCCGGTGGGGCGCATCGGACCCGACAGAAACGGGAACGTGTTGTGATCCAATTGATTCTGGGAGTAGTTTTTTTTTTGGTTTTTTGTTTTTCGTCAAGTGGAGCCGCCGCCTCCGACCCGGCCCGGATCCGACCCACCGAATCAAATAACAATAATAATTATATACAAATTCCTTAAATTATCCAATTAGTGGTTGTATACATTAATCGCGCAACACACTATGTGTCGGACAACACAAAAACTTACACTTAATTTGTTCTCATTTTTTCGTATAAATAACATATCAGACGACCTATGACGAAATAAAATTTCATATAAAAACAACTATCGAATAAAGAACTCAAGATAAAAATAATAGAATTTACCACGGCAATGCGCCAAATGAATGTATTGCCGACATTGCCTCGTTGGTCCTTAATTATAATAATATGTGAGGATAATGTATCCCATTTTAAGATACCCTGTAATATATCATATGTAAGAAACGCAAGACGTAACCAATAGTGCCTGTGTTTGGTGGGGAAGCCGCGTTTTCGGAAGCCGTCGAGTAATCGTCATCACAAAACAACCCAAGAACTAAATTCAAAAACGACCACACACTCAAAATTTTTTGGCAGCGAAGAAATACAAAACACCGTTCACGAAACCGCACCGCACTCAACTAACTATACCGGGTGTGCATTAAAAAGGAAATCGAAAATATCTATAATGCGGCGGGTCGTAGGAACATTATACAGGGTGGTGACAATGTGTCCCAAATACTTTTTTTTATTTCTGCAATGGGTCACCACACTCGGCGGCTACCGAAGGGCGGCGAAGCGGGACGCTGACACCAAACATTACAACAACAAGTGGGCCGCGCCTGGCGGGGTGCTACATTATTATTATTATTAATATATTATATTATACACATAAAGTGAATGTACAAGTGCAGATGTGATGACATCACAGTAGCTGCCGAGTCGAGTCACACAACACTAGACAGTCCTCGAGCTCAGTGATAGCCGTTGGTAAACGCAGCAGGAATTAGGGGACCCTGGAACAAACAAAACACAACCCTATAATAAAAACCGGACCGAGGGCGCTTCATAACCTTGAAGAATGTAATGCAATGAAATATTATGTGGTGCTCTTTTATTACGTCGAATACATCACTCCAGTAAGAAAACTAGTTTTATGTTTTTTAGCGCAGCGCAAGAAAACACCACGCGATTTTATTAGTTCGAGAGATAAACAAGAGGACAGCTTCGTTCTGTTGACTCGCACTTTTTGCTCGTGCCTCATACGACCACATCTACAAAGCAAATGTCAGTTTTGCTGGAATAGCCTGTAAATTTGCTATCTCACAAATGAAGGAATCGTTAAAACAGTCGGTATATTGTTCTGTCAATAAAACCAAAAGACATGAAACCGAAATTAATCACGTTTATTGTGATGGTTTGTCTAGCTGAGAGCGGCGAACGACTCGTGTCGTTGTAGTCGACAGTTACTGCCAACTACAAAAATTCCACTAGATTTCCATTTTTGCAACTGTTTTACCGAGCTTACAAAACATTTCATGCAACAGTGGCTGGTCTTTTATTAATAATTTGCATAGCAAATAAACTTTTCACAACTCTACACTGCTGTTTTAATAAACTTCTAAATTGCAATGTTGTTGGGTCTCATATTAATTGGGAAAATGTGCCGTGAACAAAATGTCACTAGCAAATGTTGGCAAACAATTTGTTTAACGTTTCAAGTTTATTTTAGAATTCACTGTTACACGTTAACAAACAATATATTTTTGTCGGCGAATAAAAAACCAGCTACCTTTTTCTGCGTTTGCGTTTTCCGGTACGAGAAACACATGCTCCCCTTGCGCATTTTTATAAGAATAAAATTAAAATCAAATTTAGAATTAGTCGCCTCTGGGTAGTAGTTGTCGGTAGATCACATAATATTACTATTGAACTATTGACATTAGATTACTAAACATGACTGCATTAATATAACAATTATAAAACAGGCTATTCCAACTGTAGTAGCGAAGGATAACGTTATTCCTTGGTATTAGAATTCTTGCGGCTATAAGTTTACTGTTCTGCAAAAAATTACCAATTTAGAGAAATTACATTACTATACATAAGGGTTCACGATTCATTCAAATGTTGATTCTATGAACCCTGTATCTAATGTGTTTGATCTATACAAATTCTATACTGAATTCCACTTGTGCTGGTGGCATTAAAAATCCCCAATCAATGTATTCTATATGGGAGAATTTGCGTCAAAAACGTATCGATTTTTTAACCTTAATTCAAAATTATGTTTATACTCTCTATTTTTTTCTCATGTTGGTATATGCTGTTTATTATTGTAATTTAAAAGGAACTTCAAAAACTGTTTGATAAATTGGATACGAATTATACACCTATTTTTTCAGAAATGAGTAGGTTTTTAATAACTTTGGTAACACCGCCACGAATACTCTCATATAAAATTCCTTCATTATGGATTGCTTACTTCGTTAACTCAAAGTGGAACACAGTGTAGATATCTGTAGCTTGAATATATTACTGGTTACTCGTAATTTAACTCAAAAACAGATCCGATTTTGTCGTTTAATCGTGCGCACTTTTTCTGAAATTCTTTAATTACGTGTAAACTACATTAATTACGCATGTTCGGCAGTTTCGCATGTTCGGGTTTTTTTACAAAGCAGTATTTCGTGTTAGGAATTGCGCAGTCTACACACTGCCACAAAACGGCGAGAAACAGTAAACATCAACCCTTTAAATGAGGCGTGTATTATTTACGGACGTAATTTGTTTGTATCATTCATTATTGATGTAGCTTGACGCTCCACAGTTGAAGTAGAGTTGACTCACCGATGTCGCTATCTAAAAAAATCGCCATCTAAGTGTGTGACTTACCGGACTGTAGTTGAGAGGGGCCCTGCTGACGGCGATCGCCGGAAAGCTGGAGGGCTGTGGGCTAGCGGCCTGCACATAGCCCACACTGTCCCCCGCGCTGCTGTTATACATGTCTATGGTCGGTCCAGGTGAGTTGGCAGCGGGAAATCCTCCACGTGTGCTGGCTGCATGTGGCGAAGCTGGCGGTCCGAAACCTTGCGCTGCCGCCGCCGCAGCCTGGTAGTTATTCATCACTGCAAAGGAAACCGAGAAGTGGGGTTGTGGTGGTGCTGTCTGGTCGGCTCCGGAAGGCTGCGTCCAACTGGCACCCGACGACCCTGCAGGAACACAACACACTCCTGGAGCCGACCGAGGCCGCTAGCACTATTACTAGTATGTGTGTGAAAGAAGGGTGAAGAGATGCTACTATAAAACCTGCAGAGTTTTCAGGTTTTCTTTGGGGTAAACCGTGCGGATTCGTTATTTGAGTGTGTGCGAATCCGGACGGTTTGCCGTGCAACTACTTCGGGAACGTTAGATTATGGAGTTTAGAACGTGGTCATGCGGTATCAGCGGGGTGGGGTCTGTGCTAAACTAATGTGAAACTAAAACAATGGGCACATTCGCTCTCCTCATCAAACGGCTCCATTTAAGCGTACACAGGGCAAGGCAACATGCAAAACAATACCAGTAATTACCTGACAAGGCCTGAGTCAATAGTGGGGTGTTATTGTTAGGTGTCAGTTGTCCGTTGGTTAGGTCCACTGGAAACACACATAGCACACTAGATTAATACGGGGAAAAGACTGTACACGAGCTACATGTATTCGTGTAAGAGACTGTGTGATTATTAAACGTGATCATCAAAGGTTCGACACGAAAGTTGTTCTTGTGTTGATGTGAATCCTATGTTTCTAATTGCTATCATGAGATAGATAGAGAGGGATAGAGTCTAAGTAAAGATGGAAAAAATACGTTAGTTTCTATAGATAGAATAAACTCCTCTATTATCTCCGATCTATATTAGATTCAACTTTCATGTCAAATTCGCCAAATCGATGGTCGTTTACATGCTTCAATCTCGTCGAAAACTTTCAGTCGAATTAAAGTTTGGTAATAAAAATGCAGGAAAGCTCCAAACCCATATGAGGTTTATATACAGCCATGTGATGGATGAACAGAAGGTTCGGAAAAGAATGAAAAAGCTGTCCTCGAACGTATCGGCAGGAGTTTCTCCATCCCGACCATCTATCACCAACGGACAGAATTTAATATACAACATGTCCAAGGCCTCGCCCATTTATTGAATCTCCAAGTAATTCTTCGAGATACAAATTACGATAAATCACAAACCACCATCGATACGGCGCTCTCAACAAAATAAAAAAACGAGATTAAATGTGTAAGAAATGTGTCTAAAGAACGTCATAAATTGCGGAACGCACACATAAATTCCTCTAAAGTATCTGCTATGTTCTATCAGTTTCTGCCGACTATCATCCGACCATCAGTTTCCTATCAGACGCCGTTACGGTTTTCACAAAACGCAAAATCTCTAATCGAAACCGATGGCCGGTCTTCTGCTACACATCGACTAACTAAGATCACATAGATGTTAAAATCGCTATAAATGTTTAACATTTACTAATTTATAGCATCTTTTTACAAAAATGACGTAAGAAAAACTACGATTCTAATCTACTTTCTATGTAAGTCTATTCTATTTTTATGTAACAGTGTTATTTCGTACTCCTCATTTAGTATGAATGCGACTACGTTGTTCTACATCTATGGTTAAACATTGATCTGATGAAGAGTCTCTATCACAAAATCAATTATCACATGACTGCTATGACTGCACTAAGTATTAGTAGATTTACTCGCCCCTCGTTAGCGTTGAAAAATTCCAAATTGGCGTCCGCTTCGGTAGTTCACACACTGTTTAACACTTCAAGTGTAACCTATTCTTGCATCAATGGGGCTCACGCCCTTATCGCGCTTCAAATTTGCACCTGGACTCCGAAAACCACCCTCCTTTGCAAAAATCAAACCCCTTCCGACATTATTATTACTATTATTATTACATCCTGGCAAACACTTCGGGGACGTCATCTTAATTGAATCTTCCTGAATATTGACGCGTAAACTTTGCGCGAGAATGACAGAACCCTCGGTATTAATGAGTTTCTAGTATTGTAGCGCGACAATTAAATAGCTAATTAATTTCGGGATTTGTTCGCCGAGCACATTTGTACCGCCTATTACTCATGTTCTAGTGGGAAAAGCTACATTGTCTCTTACTAATTGAGACGATCAATTTCCGTCATTTAGCTATTTTAATTAAAAGCCATAATTGCGCGTCTATAACTTCAACCGCCGCGCCATACGTTGAATCAAATTAATTCTCGATACCTGGGAGAAATCATTTTAAAACGTCACAGTTAATGAGCAGCGTTTCCACTGCCTCGTGCGAATTTCGTGTCAATAGAGGAATAGGGCGGAGCACGGAAACGATTTCTTTCATCTTTAGTCATACCTTGTGCAGAATTACTACGCATCGACGCCGCCAAAAGTTGATTTTGAAAACTTCAAAGACTAGTTTTTGAGTCACTTTTTACGCTATCGACTCACTCACAGGAGTGATATCTTTATGAAAAAAAAAAGTTTAAATAAGCTTGTTTTTTTGAACACATGTCGTACGCCATACGGCCTTAAGCGGTTTATAAGAAATCTCGAAAATCAAAAAAACGCTGTGTTTTCTTTTTTGTTCTGACCTTTGCGCGACCTGTTATGCGGTATTTGCCGATTATGTATCGTTACGTAGTCTTATGCGTTTACGTGTGTTCCTTTCCACGTGATTGGAAGAGTACGATGTATTATTCATGAGATATATATGAAGAAGTATTCAAACTAGAATTAAAAAAATCCGCAGAACGGTTAGATTTCGTAACAAACGGAATTGAATGAATTCGCAGTTGGTAGTCGTACGATTATAATATTGAAGGATAATCCTTTTAGGTGTGTCTGTAACATGGTAGATCCTCTATTTACATACTAATCAGAGCCGCTCAAAGTCTCGTAAGTCTATTTAACAACATAAAACGCGCCTGTTGGTACAGTTCCAGACGGAAAGAATCAATAAGTTCGTGATAGGTTCAGGAAAGCGTGCGTAAGCACGATGACAATAAGTTTACGTGTGCAGGACGGGCCCAAATGCAAATCTTAATAGAAAGTCAGTGGCGTCTCGTCCAGGTGCGAATTCGTAGACGCGTCATAACAACAAATAAGTAAAAATGCAGTCGTTTCCTTACAGTATACATTTGTTTATTTTCACATATTGCTTAAAACGATCCGTTGCGATCAGGGCAACAAGCAACAGTCTCATAACATCGAATACTTATAGAAATTATGTACAGTCACACATCCTCACATACATTTATAATAAACAGCTTTGGCATATCGATTATTTATAAATCTTAATGATCACCTGGACAACATTCCAGCTCTGTTGTATGTATATGTATAATGCACACAGAGAAATTAACGTGATCGGATGGCCGCAGGGATCGATATTGCGGCGAGGACTTGGCCGAGTAGCCGAATTGTGTTTGCATAAGGACGCTTCGTCTCAATTAGACCCGATACAAATTGACAGATTCTGTCCTCCAACCGCTCCACGATACCTGCGGCGACAGTCGAATGCTTGCAGATGTATGTACAATGGAGACAACGCCAAATTGAATCGGCCTGCCGCCAATAATTAATAGCCATAATCGCTGCGGACGCTGCTAGCTTTGATGTCGGAAGGATAAGTAGCGCAGGACCCAGGAACCGACCTACTTTTTTAAATCAGTTCCCGAAATGGGCTGTATTATTTTGCAAGCGGAAATTGGCCGACGAAGCTTACGTACTGATACGTGAAAATCTCATCGTTAAAATTACACCTCAACCGGTCGAACACTGGTATAGCCGGGGAAATTTAAAGGGGCACATCTAACAGTATGTTTTTTGTCTGAACTAGTTTTTTAGAAGGCAAATAGTTTTGTACCGGAGAACTTCAACTCCGGTCCAGGTCGGGCGTTCACTAATCTGACACCTTAACCACGGTCCGGCAAATATCTAGCTGACTCTAATTACACTTATTTAGTACAGGAACATATTCAATTAATTTTGGATTAAGAAGCAAAGTACCTTAAAAATTACTTTAATAATTTACACAATGTGAGCATTCATGGAGTTACCAAATTTGCTATATATTATAACATAGTAGTATGATATGTATTTGTATGAGACACATTTTACAAAATCGCATGTAGAAATGCGGCTTTCATGTCTTTATTCTTTATTACACTTCTACTTTCTGACTTATTTAGTTTCACGTTTGTATGGATTTTAAAATTGGAATTTAAAAAGAGGCAGCTAAAATTTATGCAAAGTGCTCTTATCCGTTTGGACCGGAGTTAAGGCGAGGGATTAAGGCACTCCAGGTACCAGTGTAACGAGATGTGACCTTGCACGGGAGTTGAAGATCGCACTTTCATAGCCGTTTCGCTTGACTCGTCTTCATCTCGCTCCTGTGCAGATGTTTATTCGTAAAAAGACAAGTAATTAATTAACATTAGGTATTGTTAGAATTCAATATTTTCATGGTGGTTTTAAAATTTATGTGTGCCACTTTAACTTTCCTCGACTATAGTTCTCCTGTCGAGGGAATAATTCTATCGGCGAGATTTCCAGTAAGATTACAACCGAAAAGGTCGCTGCAGCGGTGATTTTTTGCTTGCAAAAAAAAGTAAATGATCGTGTTGTTGGAGCGAGGAAAGTCGCGGATTCTGGTCCTTCGGTGTGGGTAAATAACGGCAGCTAAAACCGTACGTCGGCAAACATCACGCGCACCAGGTGTGCCAAGACCGTCGGATTTCGTTAGGGCGAGCTTAGCAGGCCGCACAGGTATCCGAAATCAATATGGCATTGTCCCATTTAAATAGAATAACGGCTATACAGAGAGATCGCGTCGCGAATGGGATCGCCTAGTTCGGACGTGTGCGCATCACCTTAGCCTATGCAATACAAGAACGACCACACCATGCTCCTGTGAACGCACCGCGAACGCGCGGTATATAATTTGATGGTAGAGGTGGGTGAGCCATCGTGGGCCCAATCGCGGCCGGACTCGCTGGATGGAGGATTCGGGACGGGGTCGCGGCCATACGGCGACGGTTGTTTCGAGAGGCATCGAGGTGCTCACGTGAAAAATTATATTATTTTTTCTCATTTTCGAACAAGCGTATAACAAATTGTATATAATCCTTTGTCAAAATACAAAAATAACGAATTAACAATAACAATGTACAAATTTATCTATTACGGCCCAGGCGCGGAGTTCTCGAAGAAGCCCGGCATGTTGCTGCGATTCCGCCTGTCTTGATTTTACGAGTGGGAAACACGCAGAGCACTCAAAATAAAGCAAACGATGGTTCGAAACTCGCATGTTTGTGCGTGCAATTCAAAATAAACTTTAAAAATATATCACAGCAGGGGGGTTCTTTTCGAGTTGTCGTGATGGTGGTGGAGTCGTCGAAACTCACCGGACCCTTCGTCTGAATTTGGACCGAGATCATCGCAACTGTTTTAAGAAGTGGCCAAATCCGATCGAACCTGCTCGGGGGCCTCTTCAATAATGGAATGGACAAGGAGATTGCTTGCAAAGCCAGTCGGAGCTAAACTGAAACTAACCATACCGGAGGGGCGCCACTATCGTACACAAGAATATTACCCTAACCTAACAGTTACTTTACCTAAACTAGCACTACACCTACCGATTATACCCATGACCTATCTAGGATTATTCGACTAAAACGGAATTCGAATACATCTTCCAGTCCACCGTCAAACGAACCAAACACAATAGATCAAAGAGACAAACAAGGAGGGAAATTGAGTGGACTGGACAATATGTATCGCACAAGAACCAGTCTAAAAAGAGAGATAGTTCTGTTAATACGAGTCTGGTTTGTGTAAAGAGTGTTAGCATAGAACGTCTAGTTTTGTTAGTAATGTTGGTTTTGCCACGTCGGCGACGCGTTTTCGTTCACAGGGGCATGGCATGCAGGCTGGCGGCTGTTGCCGTGCCGCCGTACATCCCCAAGTGATCGAGGGGGTACGGCAGCAGCGGCAGCGGGTGGTGATGATGGTGTAAACTGGCCAAGGTATTACCTGTTGGGTACGGTAGTCCGAAACTAGGGTAGCCCGAGTAACCTCGACCGGCCGCGTAGGCCGCGTATGCGGCTGCCGGAAAACCTGAAACAAAAAACGATTCATCAAATTACACCAACGACCACAAACAATCATATTAAATGCTACTACCAAAAACGAAAAAACAAAGCCTGCAATTCGAACCAGCTCGATAAATCCGAATGATAATAATTGTTCTGGACCACTGATGTGATTAGGAAAGCAATTAAAATATTTCAACGATTTTTGCAGGCTTGCTCTTTCTCCAACACACTTGTCTGTCGATCGAACAAGTTGAAAAATAGTGCCGACAATACCGGCATTTTTTCATAGAACCTCCAAAATTACAATATGACACACCACTCAGAAAGAACTGAATTGCATTGATCCTTTACAATAAGGTTTAACACCGGCATAATATTTTCTTTAAGAAACATGTCAAATTTTAAGGGTTATCTTTGGATGGAACTTTACGCTGGAATATTCATAGCCATGCAAAATCACAAGAAATATTTTGCAATGGAGAACTTTTAATGACATGCGTTTTTTGCCTGGACACTATGCTCTCATTCCGTCACTCGGGCACATGGCTTAATCTGTTATTAATTCTAGTATAAGGCATAGACCTTTGATAATAATGGCCAACTTTATTTAGAGATGACTTAGACGACATTTTTGCAAATTTAAGAAGGTACTAATGTCACCTTCCTTATGTAGGTATTTTACAATGTATTGTAATTATCCATAAAATTTTATAACAAATTGCCACCATCAATAAAAAATTTAGTAATGCCATAATTTATTTAAGATCTCATTCTCAGTAAATCTGTCTCTCTAAACCTTAATTCAAAATTATATCTCCTTCTATACTCTCTATTTTCTTGTGGCGTCGGTACATGCCATTATTAAGATTCATGCAGCAATTTTTTCCGAAATGAGTAGGTGTTTAATAACTTTGATAACACCGCCGTGAATACTCTCATATTCATTCATAATAGATTATCTACATTATGAATTCAAAATGGAACACAGTCCTGGACTTCAAAGTCAAGATCATGTGGGTCCCTAAATAGTTGTGGTCAATAACATACGACAGTAAAGACAGAAACTTACTACTCTTGGTCGTAAAACATTTCTAGCTTGAGTTTATCACTGGGTTGGGTTCATCTACGTTAAAGTAGGTACTAGAATTGATGCTTTGAAGCTTTTTTTATTTAAATTTAAGTGACATTTTCAAAAAACTTAAGAGTATTTAACTCAAAAATAGATACGATTTTTTCGTTAAACTTTTTTCTGAAATTCTTGTTTAAAGTTTCAAGTGGGTGAGGCACTTGTTGCAGGTATCCTTATTCCAAGGAATTTGCCAATGGTAAAATTTTACCATAGTAGTTATATAGTGGGGCTCCCAGCTCAGTTTGACCTCATTTTCCCTGACCTAGGAGCCCCACTACCTTTTTTTGAACCTTTGTCATCGCTTTGTGCTCGGTCGACCTGATCCCGGGGACGGTCGTGTTTTGTGCAGACTCGAATTCTATCCCGACTATCCCCTTCATGTAGTTTAGTAGGAAAGTATAGATTTATAAACAAAACAATTAAGTGTAGTCAGGTTGGCCGAGTAGTCTAAGGCGTTAGATTTAAGCTCTGATTCTCGAAAAAAAGCGTGGGTTCAAATCCCACACCTGACAGTTTTTTTACGTTTAAATAAAACACATTTAATGTTATGTTATTTACTGAGGATGCCTAATTTTTCGCAGGTGCCTTTTAACGGTACCTCTTAACTCGTCCTTCGTCATGAATAGAATAAATCTAATCACAAACATTAAGATGTGTTCATTCATTTCAACAAAATTTAGCAGCTTCAGCAGCTTTATATACAACAGTTCAAAAAAGCATCGATTTGGACGGTATGAATGAAAAGTCTAAAGACGTAATTTGCCAATAAAGTCTTTTCAGTGACGCTCTTGGTATTACACTTTCTTTTAATTAAATTGCTGATTTTGTAAATACGGACTCTTTCTTTGTATCTTCAGTAAAAGTTTCAGCGTTGGAATGATAGCTTCATTTTTCTGGTGGTGCATTATTTATGCATATTTTTACTTTTCAAATAATCAGTTGTGTGAGAAAACTGAGATTAACGATGCAACCACCGAACCTCCTTTGAATGGACCAAATACCGTGAAATATTTAAAGCGCTAAAATTGGGTGAATATGCTATTTCCAGGCAAATCGCATCAAATATAACACCGCCGGGTTAATTTGGACTGATGCGGATTAAAAATTCATGGTGCAACTGAAACTGGATTATCGACTATGCCGGATTTGGAATTGTTCGCGTTCGATCTGGTGGCGTGCAAGGCAACGAACGAAAATTCGGTCGAAAGATGATTTGTTGCGAGGTGAATTAAGACGTTCGTTCTGGTTCTTGATTGTGCTGCGACGTTAAAAATGAAAAATCTTCTGCACACAATAAAGTAAGATTAACGACTTGATTAGAAACTGTGTATAGAATAAATACGATATTAATATCGGCTATAAATTGGTTTAATGGTTATTTATAGCCGTCGTAACTATTGAGCAAATATATATGGATATGTGCAGTTAACTGGAGATAAATCATTTGAATGTTTTATGTCGAGCGAGGACTTTATGGGTTGCTATATTAAGAAGTGGGATTGTACTCACCGTCAGGAAGAGCCCCAAGTGACCACATAAAATCTAAAAAACGAAAAAAGAAAGAATTAGTTAAATTCGCTTTGAGTGCGACGCGGCGACATTTATAGAGACAACAACTATGTCTGACTATTAATGAAATGTTAGCATCCATGAAATTTCATACTACGTGTCTACACTACACGATAATTAAAATAAACGCGAGTAATAAGCGAAAAATTAAAGAAGAACGGTATACGCAAGAGAAAGAGTTAAAAAAAGAGCTGCATTATGTCTCGACAACTGCATCGACATTCGACTAGTACTACAAACTATATGTGGATCTACATTAATACAACGCATTAAGATTACTCTAACTTGTTCCCGGAAAGTTGCGGAAGAAAAATCCGACAACGTTCAGGGCTAAATCCGACAACTAAATTTAAATATCTAATAAATCTTTGTGAGTATGATTCTTCTAACAACTATTTTACAATGATTACAACAGAACGTAGATTTTTGAAACCCCGCAAAACGAGGTTGCGACGACTCACAGAAGACAAAACAGCGACTTTCATGTTACAGATTCTAAGTATTCACTATATACTATTTTAGCCAGAATGAAAATCCCGTTCCAGCGTGTTAGTTCTAACCTAACCGCTCACTTATCGTACTTTCTATAAAATTAAAACTAGTAGAAGAAACCAAAAAAGAAAAAGTAACGTTCCGTTGCACCGCAAAGACGAGACGCAGCGGAACGTGGGAAGCATTTAGTTTTGCCGCGACAAAATCTTGCCGAAGCAAAACTTTCTAAGTTCTAAATTCTATACAAAAGATTAGATCGCACCTTGATAGGGCTACGGTACATGAACGTAAACGAAGCCAGGACGAATCCTCAGAAAGGACCAACAAGAAGGAAACCTGGCAGGACCTGAAAAGGAGGAACTACTGCCCCGACTTTGCGTGAAAATTACACGTAAATCCTCTATAAAACATCCTATAACTAAAACCTAACTTTACAATACAGTGTTTTTAGTTCTTTTTGTTCGCTGGCAAGATCGAGCGAGGTAAACTTCGAGTCATTTAGAAAATAAAAACTAACTCGCTCGAACTAAGCACATTACAGCTTGGCATAGACACGATGAAATTTCATGAGCTTACACAAAAGTACTAATAGCTGCACTGTAATTGTATCGACTACTCTAAAGTGAACTTTTCCGATATCCTTTTTACATGGTTTCGTCACAGTGTACAAATTTCTACAGTTAACTTAACAGATTAAATAACGTAAGACGCCTACAGGCAGTGACGGGCTAGAAAAGAGTTCTACTTTATCTACAATATAGATATGTACCGTTTTTAAAAATATATGTATTTCGATTCATCTATATGAAGCCTAACTGCTATAGATCTATTATTGTCCAACTAAAGTTTGATCGGATCTTGAAACGTCACATTGCGACTGTCAAGATCCAACAAACGCGCTAATTGATCTAGGATTAATCTCACTAGCAGTCTTGAATTTTGTACTGAGCTAACAGAATTTAGGCCTTTCGGTAAAATCTCATCACAGAGGTTTCCTGTACGCGATGTGCCAAAACGATATGAATAATGTATAGAGGTACGCATATTCACTTAAGAGGAGCTACTCTAATAACAACACATAAATACTGATATGTTGGCAAAATAAGCGAAGGACACGTTTACATCTTCTGACACTTATTATTCCATTATATTTTATATACCAGAGAAGATATAGCCCGGAATAATCCATTACGAAAGCACCACTCGATGCATTCGTCCAAATTACGAATGAATTCTACATTTGAATGTGTACCTACGCACATTTTCGGAATGTAAATATTCATAAAACGAACGCTCCACGTAGGTGTTCACTCAATTGAAGTTTAAATTTTCCAACACAGTTCAGAAGCAAAAGTTTGAATATGTGCGCATCGCGACCCGTTCAAACTTCACCTAAGCGAACACAAAACACCTCTTTGTGATGCAATTCCGCGACGAAACCCCACCGAGTGCTGCTTTCCAACTTCGGAACACGTAAAGCCATTAAGATTAAGAGGTAAATAGACATTCATTATGGAAAGTGACCGAAAATCACCAATAGCAAGACGGGAAGTCGATTCTGAGACGGTTACGTCGAAATCACGACGGCCCCTTTGCCCAGACGCCGAAAGTTAACAGGGAAAAATCGAAGATCAAACAGTCCTTAACTGATTTCACAAATTATCCTCAGAACATTCAAACCTAAAGTGTCTAAACGCAAACTGAGCATCTGATTTGAATGTGCCGCTTATTATGCAATCTATTTCCAGTGATCTAAACTAGCAGAGGCGTCGATTAGTCAAAAGCAAGGAATCAAGACGCGTCGGGTTCAAGACTGTCAATTCAGCTTCTAAAAAATTCAATGCAACACGGCTTGTGACAGAATGATATATGCATTTAACTGTTTTTCGGAAAAAGGTTAAAGTTGATATATTAGTTTTCCAGGAAACGTCAGTGATTGCAATCAAAATTTTCCAAAAGTACGGTTCGTTTTTGACCGAAGTGGCACGCTCCGATCTAATGCTCACTCTACCCTTGACACACTATCACGATGCAAATGATAGCTAGACGGTACGAAAACCTATCAATCCGAGTGGAAATTTCATATCCCGAAACTTAAAATATTCACCCGAATGTTTGATCTACGCCTTCCCCTCCTGTCAACCCTTACACCTCCAAGCGGCCGTCATCACTTCCCGGCAATCCCTTAAAGGCCTAGCCCTGCGGGTAGTGCGTTGGCATATACCGCGGATATGTCCAGCCCCTGCACCCCCAGGAGGTCGCTCATGCTGTACGTGAGCGTCGGGGGCGGCCGCGCCGCCACCGGCCTGAGGGTGGCGGGCGTCGCGAAGACTCTTTTGCAGCCCGTCACGTCGTACACGGCCGAGGCGTAATGCAACGGTGCCGGAGCCACGGCGATAGCCGCCACCGGTATCGAATGGCCTCCGGCTGTGGCTACGGGCACGCTTGCACTCACGGGAATCGGATACGGTGCATAGCGCAAGGCGGAGGTGGCGTTGCCGGCACCGACATGGCCCGGATTCAGCATTAGTAACTCACCGTAAGCGCCCCGGCCAGCCGCCCTTGTCTTCGCTAAGTTGGCGGGGAGCATTACTTCTTTTGGTTGCGCTTTCTTGCACTCCACCTGGAACAAGACCAAAGTCATGGAGGGGTGAACAAAATGGATGTTTTTTTAAGGAGGCAGTTTGTGTTTTTGTTCGTGGGGTAATTGTAATTACATTAAAGATAGCAGTAAACGTTGTGATAAGAGAATGGTAGTAATTTCAGATGACAAGCGATATGGGGTTGTATCGAAAATCTCGCATTGATTAACGTTTAAGGTAGTGCGTTGTAATGGATCATTTAGTGTAGATGTGGTGAATAATTAATTAAAATTCGTTGCGTATTGGACAACTCGGTACTACGACTCTTTACTATCTACAACGAAATGGTAGTTTGACAATCCAGTTTTGTATGGAGTTCATTCTGGAGCGGTTTTGTTGTTCTTTCTTAGAGGCATTTCAATAACATTCTTCAGTCGCTGTCGTCGCTAGAAGATGTTCGGTTGACCACCCTTTTATGGCCAGCTAAATCTCCTGATCTACCGCCTATCGACCGTAATCGGGCTATGATCCGGAGAAGGGTGAAGAACTCAACCACTCCCCTAAACAATTTACAGTCACTAATACCGTAGCAAAACTATAGAAAATCCCTTGTAGGCAGACGGAGGCTTTCTTTACTGCAGAATTATCACTTTAATCACCAATCGCTTAAACTTTCATCCCTCGAGCCTTTTTCAGACGACATGTTTAAAAAAAGCGCCGCCTCCTTCCCGTTTTCTCACCGCCACCACAATAGAAATTACTTGGGGTTTTGTACAGTATAAAATGCAATTTACATGCGTCCCAAGGGCGTGATGTTTCCCGTCTTAGTGGCTCTGACGTCGTTCGGGGGATAATGACGCAAGAAAAGTCTAAGTGACAACGTTATTAATGTGCTTCGGTAATAAGGGCGAATGCTGGACAAACGCCTCCAGTCTTCCGATTATTCCCTTTGTTAAGTAAGGGTCTGGCCCTCCGGCGTTCAAGAAGAAATCTTCGGGAATTTTCGAACTTCCACACTCCCTCCCACGGCCGACGCGCGTTATTAATATGGGAATTTGGCAGTGCACTCTGCTCTTTAGGGCTGTTTTAATATCGTGCAGCGGCATGAATTAGTCCAGGGGATGTTTATGTTTGCGAATTGTGTCGTCCCGGAATTTCGCCTCGTCGCCGTGACAAAGCGCGCCCCAACTTTACAAGCCCGAGCTTTAGACGTGAGCCGGCTATATATCTTGGAGCCTGTTTGCTCGGCCGATAGCGTGTCTTACAATCAGGAGTGATTTGCAGGGCACCGCTTCCAATTACTGACGAACTCTTCCACACTCGGGGCCCATTTTAATGTCGTCTGACCCGGATCGGATCGGTGGCGGCGGCGGCATCGGACCGCCCCTTGCCACTTAATTAGGCACGGACAACCGCCCGATATCGCCACAAACCACCCACTTCGCACGGCATGGCGCATTTTTGCCAGGAGATAGGCTCTTGTCCGCTCCTCACGGGGAATGCTAATTTCTGTAAATTTTATTCGAAAATCCAGAACTATAGCGTTATACGACGACATGCCGTGGCGGTTACGTGTCTTAGGTGTCCACTATATACTCATCTATAGATTTACTTTATACTAAAGATTTCGTTTCTAGAAGCATTGTCCATAAGAAGCTTCTCGAAATTTTCTTTTTAATAGTATTTCAATCGAGTAAATAGGTCTCCCGTTTCCGTCTGTCTGTCTGTTTGCCGTCTGTTCAGATTTTTGTTAGACAGATAATCTTCGAAACTACTAGACCGATTGTTGTCAAATTTTATATGCATATTAGGAATATCATGCAGATGGTGCAAAATGCAAAATTTGGCTGATCGCCCCGCTACTAATGGGATGACGTCATCTCCAAAATTTACAATATAGCAATTTCTTTTTAATTTTATAAAATACGTTACTCCTGTACTGTACACAAAACATTTTTAACCCCTTGCTACTTAATGCACTATTGCACTGCTATTAACTGCACGACCATTAGACTTTGATTTAGAGAACTAATTTTACAACATTCCTTTCGGTCTAGTGAGGGAGACCGGTCATGAAACCATTTATTATTTCTAATTATCTGTAAAATTTGTTGCAACTATATTACATCCATTACATTGTTTAACCCCACAAAAAATGCTAAATGGATTTAAGTTTTTGCCTGATCGAATTGGTTTCATCCTTGATATTAAGCAGATGGGGATTAAACAGAATAACCCACTACCTCAAGTTAATCTGGGCCTAGCTCATTATGGGAACACTCTCGGTGAGATAAATTCCTTTCTTTGTGATTAATTGATGCTTCCGTACCTATCAGGCTGTTAGGATCCAACGTTTCGAGACACCAATGTATCATTTTCATTCTTCAATAATCTTTATTGCTCTTGAAATATCGTTTGTGGTGCTACCTATATGTGTCAAGATTCTAGTAATTTTGAACAATGTGCGTGTAAACTGTAAAAAACTTCTTGGAGGAATATAGGTGTGGTGAAACCAGAACTCCGGAAACAAGTTGGACATGCTGGTAATATTTGAATTGAAGTTGAGAACGCCCGTTGCAACCGATGTTAGCTTTATTGCAATGCAGAGTATAAATTTGGGTTATCTGACCTGCGGCCCTAATTGCAAGCGAGTTAATTTCATCTTGGGTAATCTTTACGTTTGTAGCTATAACACGTAACGGGATATAACTTGCAGGCTAAGGTGTATTGTTGATGATGTTTGAGAGGCAGATAAAACGTAAGCTACTCATAAATAGCTCGAGTCTAGTCGATCCCATTACGGTCTTGGCTGTCTCACTTAGCTTGCAAGTTCTAATTAAATAGGGATCCGGATAAGACGCATCAAAGCTGCATTCGCGGCTCTTTATTGTGTTTATCCACCTGCAGCTATTAGTTTCATACTTCCCGCAACTTCCCCACCGTTGTTTATTCTAGTGGCTGTTTAAAATTTATTCAGATTGCGTAGCACGAGTTGCTCTTTAAATTAATTTCAGATGTAATTCCGTAGTTGCCTAAAGGCCGACGTTGGTTAATTGTCGTCGGGATTTGTTTGCGACCGGAACGTATTTCCGCGGTTAGGTTTTCGTAGCTAACTCTTTAACAACAAAAACAAAAACTGCTCCTTTTGTAGTCGCTGAACGTTTCCAATTCTTCGATAAAAGTTTCGCATCCAAAATGATCAAGAATCGTAACAAAACTTACCATTTTATTGTTAATCTCATGGAAATGGATTTCACAAACTTTATCTACAACATCTTCGCTTTGAAATGTGACAAACCCAAAACCTGAAACAAAAAAGTTACTTTAGAAATGCTGGTCGATGAAACCGCGGTTTCCGATGTCGTTTATTATTTCGTTCGCTTCGCTACACTGGTTGCGGGTTGCTTATTTTAAAAGTTTTTACATGTCGGGGTCCGACAAATATAACGTCGCAAAAAACAAAGCCGCCGATTCAATTTCGGACCAAAATAAAAGGACCAGCGCCAAAATGTTGATCATTCAATTCGGCTCTAAAACCGACCGTACGGATCAATCGGTAAACTAATCCTTTTTAAAACTACATCCGTAAGGATACAAAGTTTCTTTTCCATCTATCAATAAAAACGAATGTTTGCCGGGATGGTTGTTTTTGTTGCTGTTGCGATTAATGTTACTGTTGAAATCCGACTTTTATCGACTTTCGCGTTTTGCAAAGCCTGTCTAAAGCCATTTCCTGCTATTGCTGCAGCTATCGCCGAACTGACAGAAACGTTTATAAACAACAAAGTTCCACTTTTTACCTTGATGCTGTACCTTTACGTCACGTTTTACGGTGCATCGATGCATGAATTACCGGTTACATCACGGCGCTGCGCCCTTATTTTATTTTTACGACTTCGCTAAGCTCAGATCTCTCCCAACATGCGATCCGATCGTTTTCTCCAACAACATTATGAACTACATTCAGCAACAGTTATAGGGCGTAATTAAGTTACTCAAAAAATTAAAACAACTAAAAATAGCGCCTTCCAAAAAAAAAAAACATTCTCAACAAGTGAATATAAACGCGAGCGGACGAACAAAGTTGTTTTTTTAACAGCAGAAGTGGGACAAGGGACAAACGAACATGAAATATCGAAACATACATCTCGATTCTGACTTTTCTAACATCCGATTGAATTGTTATGCCCGTTGAAAGTTATATTTAACCAAATTTTAAAATCTTGTACATGCTGCTTTTAAAAAGGAAGAGAGAACGGGTATTACGAATTATGAGACCTATTGTCATAATAAACAATCTTTAACGCTTCTGAATTTGTTTCCCATGCATTATAGAATCTATAGCCATGTAGTTAGCGACATTTCTGTCTATTAGCATAGATTAACAGATAATAAATCAACATGACCCAATATCTATGCAATTTACTTGATCAATAAACACAGATTGATATCTTGTGCATGGACTTCCAAAAGTCCTTGGATCGAGTCTTATTACAAAACTAGAATATTTTGAACCGTCTAGTAACTTAAGTGGTCTTGTTTATTTTTACTTTTAACAAAGGAGATGTCAATTGATACAATATAACGGTTATCTATTTGCTTCATTTCAGCAACGTTGCAAGGTTCTGGAGTACCACAGCCTTTATGTTTTCTCATGCTTATTAGTGAATTAACCGCTGTGTTAAAAGTGCGTACAGAGTGCGTCACAAAATGCGTTAGGACAGTATTCTAAAATTATTTTTAACTGTACAGGATGATCTATTTTAATGCGTAACGCACAAGTTAGTTTTTAATGAAACGCTCTATATATTTCTACATCTTTGACTAAATTTCCTCAGCAATCAGCAGTTCCTGTTGCAACATGAAATTGAACAATGAGCATTGATGAATGTATTACAGAAAATTTTTAAAATTAAAAACCGAGTGAACAAAATGGTAGATCCTTTCAACATTTACTGTGATGTTTAACTCTAATAAATTTGTTTCTTTTTCTTGTAATGATTTGGTTTTATTTTTTAAAAAGGTATGAAGCATTTAAGCAACCAGTTATAAAGTTCCGTATTGTATTTATCGTGCGCTAGGAGATCATGAACACGTGCCGCCTCTCAGTTTCGACCTCATTAAATGCCCAAACTGAGAGGCGGCACGTGTTCATGACCCACTTCGACCCTATAATCATTTATAGAAACCCTGTATAAGGTCGCGGAATTTTAACTGGGACACTCGGTATACCTAAAAACTAACGGTAACATATTTTAAAAATGTATATATATCTACATAGTTGTTTTAGTAGAGTGAATGGATTTTGATACGGCCTCTGCAGCTACATAATGCACACGAATTCACGGGAACTTACGGTTTCCTCATTCTTGAAATAAGATCCGGCAATGTGACGGCTAGTGACTTTCTCTTTTACCCATAAGGGTTCCATTTGTTACATTTTGTGTTACTGTTCTATCGGATAATCGCAATTTGTGTTTTGTTTATCGCAATTAAACATTTTTTCGATTAATGTACGAATAAGAGATACACGGTAGCTCAAAAGCAAAACCGTGTTTCGTGCGGTGTTGTCGTAATTAGCTTACGATTTTTTACTGGAGGATATTCCAGTCGAACGTAAAATTACATTAATTTCTTTTCATTTTAACAGTTGATATGCAAACTAAACCTCGCCGTTTCAAAGCCGCTCGTTCTCCCTTGTTTTGTTACTTTAGTTATTGGGCGTGAAAGCTTTCAAAATAAGTACTTCTGAATGTGTTGCGGCGAAGTGATGTAATTTGCTTTTATCAATTATGCCGACGCCTCGAATAAATAAGTGCGGGTAGGTAGAAGCGTCGGTCGGCGTAGAAGCAGAAGAAGAAAAGGAAAAAAAAGGATAGAAGAGTAAGAGAACGTCCGCGTTCGAGATTTGTTGAAAATATTATTCAGGCGAGTTTGCGGGCGCGATAGCGCACGTGCGTCGGGGAGATTGGGTCGGTGGAGAGCTTTTCCTTCCCATTTCCCCCTTTCAGTCCAACAGATAGGCAATAACTCATCCTCGAGCGCTAGTCGTGACAGCCGGGACCGCGAAAAGAAGAAGAAAACCCGCCGATTCAGCGGAATCCCGGTCTTTTGTCACAGGCGGTGCGACGCTTAATACGCGTCGACTCATATCTCCTAAACTAAATGAGATTAAACGATGATATGTGCATACGTCGACGGCGACATTGCAGCCATCGACTTCCGGGCTCGCCATGCCATAATGCGCCGCCGGCTGCTGCACCAAGATTATCTCCAATCCGGAACGAAACCTCTGCACTACATGAATTATCGTGATGGGAAAGTCGATGCGAGGAAAGTGCTTTGTAAGCTGGGGATTCCGAAAATTTTACGGCTAAGCCCGGCTCGACGAGGGGGCATACCTGCTGCGGCCTGGCGGAGGCACGTCCACTCAAAAAAGAACCAAACTTGAGAAGGCTATAAACTTTCAAGTGCGAAGGTTTTCTTAATCCATAATCGGAATGTGCGATTTCAACAAACGGCGTCAAGTGGGAACCCGACGTAACTTGCATCATATAACTGCGACACTTGCTGTTTACAACATAATTGAGTTGCTTATTTTGTTATGACATTCTTCGAAATAACCAGCTACAGACTACTGCTTTTATGAAAAGATTTAACAACAATTCAGAAACTTTGGCTCTTGGGGCAAACTATGTAACTATGGTTTCGTACGAACACTACAAACAAGTTAATTAAATTTCAATTTGACAAGCTGTATACAAGCGCGGTTGCCATCATAACTGGAAAAAAATGAGTGATGTCGTGTATTATTGACCACAAAATAAAAGTCCGCGCCACTTTCGTAGATGTTTTTTGACTTGTTGACTACTTGGATTTAGAGAAAAAATTGACACCTGTGTCTGAAACGAGAACTCGGTACTTTTAGTTTTTCGAGGATTAAGCGATTTTCGACCCGGCGCATCCACCACTTTCGCCACGCAAAATTTCCGTTCTCGCTTACGTTTTCGCGTTTCTTCCCACAACCATCAACAATCAGCAACCAATCTGGATTGAGATGGAGCCCGCAGGTCGTGTGTTAGTCGCATCTTGCAGCAAACACCATAGGACGGGCAATAAATTTCCCTGATTCATTGATGGGGTGAGCGTATAGACAGTTCGGCCCCACCTGACATCCGTTATTAATTAACAGAACACGGTGCTCCCGTCGAGGCGGCGATCGTAACAAATGCACTCGAAAGTGGAGCGTGTTTTTCGGAGTTCTTTCATCTGGACCGTCCGTGTGGTCGATATTTCAATTGGTTCCCGAATAACAGAGACACAATTTCCGCCACCACACGTTGTGAACGGGAAAAAACCGAAAAAAACCCGCCTCGTTCGCTTCGCCACCGTATATCAAACAACACAATTATGTAAATTGAGTTTCATAGCTTATAATCTGACACATTTAATGCAGATATCTCTCGCGCTGGAAGCCCTGATGTAACGGCCCTACGTGAGAACGAGTATCGCGCTTTTACCGGCCTGCATTTTTATGCAAATTAAAACGATTCATCATTGGTAATTACGAGTAGGTAACCGAAAAAAGACGAGGCAATTACGCCAAATCTTCTGCGAGATTGCCTCGAGGACCGGCTTCCAAGGGAAGATGCAGGGACTACCTCGGATCAACGCAATCCAAAAGTCATGCCCATTCCGAAAAAGGAGATTCGAGGGAAAGATCTGCTAGACGGGACCGAGATTCCACACAGATTTACTTGAACGATCAAGATATTTTAAAAAATTGGTCGAAGATTATGTCGGCAGAACTTTCCTCGCACCAAAAGTAATTTCGTACAAATTTCGCTTCTTTGAAAAATTATAAAATTAGATTTCGCAAGATTTATTTTGTGATAACCTGTATAAAGTAAAAACTATAAATAACACCCAAGGTCCAAAGGGACGCCCATGGACGAATCTAGATTCTTAGGTTAGGTCCCTAAGAATCTAGATCCGTGCCATTATTTATTTGGGACCCATCGTTTTTCCTATTATAAACGGGAGTTGCTTAGAAATTTTATTTTCAATACTTTAGTATAATGTAAAGAAAAAGAGGCTGAGGTGTACAAAAACTTTCGAATTTGGATTTTCGAAATTTGACCAACTCCTCTTCATGTTTCGCTTCTGGCCGGACGCCGCAGAAGAACGGACTGTGTAAAATTGATTTGCGGCAGATAACCAACGGGAAAAATGACCTCTCAGCAACATGCCTAACTTGGAGTGTTTATGTTTATATATCAGAAGAAAGTCACGTACAAATTTGTTT